GAATTAAGAAATCAGCAGATATTTACCTATATGTGTATTGCATGTGTGAGTCTGGCATTTTGCCAGTAAATAAATTTTATTTTGTGTTCAGTATCACAAAAAGAAAAAAAAAGAATGGAGGAAGATGAAAAAGGACCAAAAAAAAAGAACCTTTAGATTATGTTTGTAATAGCATACTAAATGAGTTAAATTAGACTGTTAGATAGTAAAGAAGTTACCCGTGAACCTTTCATAACCACAAATCTAAAGACTGCAATTGCAATAAGTACATACCTATTGATAATCACCCTAAATGTAAATGGTCTAAATGTACCAATCAAAAGACACAGACTCACTGAATGGAAAAACAAGACCCGTCTATATACTGTCTACAGGAGACTCACTTCAAACCGAAAGTCATACACAGATTAGAAGTGAAGGGATAGAAAAATATATTTCATGCAAGTAACAGGGACAAAAAAGCAGGAGTTGCAGTACTTGTATCAGACAAAATAGACTTCAAAACAAAGAAAGTCACAAGAGACAAAGAAGGGCATTACATAATGATAAAGGGGTCAGTCCAACAAGAGGATATAACCATTGTAAATATCTATATATCCAACAAGGGATCACCTACATTCGTGAAACAAATACTAACAGAATTAAAGGGGGAAATAGAATGCAATGCATTCATTGTAGGTGACTTCAATACACCACTAACTCCAAAGGACAGGTCAATCAGACAGAAAATAAGTAAGGACACAGAGGCACTGAACACTGCATTAGAACAGATGGACCTAACAGACATCTACAGAATACTCAAAAGCAACAGGATACACATTCTTCTGAAGTGCACATGGAACATTATCAAGAATAGATCATATACTAGGCCACAAAAATAGTCTCGGTAAATTCAAAAGTTTTGAAATTGTACCAACTAGTTCCTCAGACCATAAAGGTATGAAACCAGAAATAAATTATGCAAAGAAAACAAAAAAGCCCACAAACACATTGATGATTAACAACATGCTCCTAAATAATCAATGGATTAATGACCAAATAAAAACAGAGATCAAGCAATATACTGTGACAAATGACAACACTAACTCCACACCGCAAAATCAGTGGGATGGAGCATAGGACGTGCTAAGAGGGAAGTACACTGCAATACAGGCTTACCTCACAAAAGAAGAACAATTGCATATTAACAGTCTAAACTCACAATTAACGAAACTAGAAAAAGAAGAACAAATGAAGCCCAAAGTCCGTAGGAGGAGGAACGTAATAAAGATTAGAGTAGAAATAAATGAAATGGAGAATAAAACAAAAGAAAAAATCAATGAAAGCAGAAGCTGGTTCTTTGAGAAAACAAACAAAATAGATAAACCCCTAGACAGATTTATCAACAAAAAAAGAAAGTCTATACAAACAAACAGAATCAGCAATAAGAAAGGAAAAATCACTACAGACACCACAGAAATACAAGGAATTATGAGAGAATACTATGAAAAATTATATGCTAACAAACTGGATAATCTAGAAGAAATGGCCAACTTCCTAAAAAATACAACCTTCCAAGACTGACTATGGAAGAAACAAAATCTGAACAGACCAATTACCAGCAATGAAATTGAACTGCTAACCAAAAAACTACCTAAGAACAAAATCCCTGGGCCACATGGCTTCATGACTGAATTTTACCAAACATTTAGTGAAGACCTAATACCCATCCTCTTGAAAGTATTCAAAAAAGTAGGAGGGAATACTTCCAAACTCATTCCATGCAGCCAGCATCACTCTAGTACCAAAACCAGACAAAGATCACAAAAAAAGAAAATTACAGATCAATATCTCTCATAAACATACATGTAAAAATACTCAATAAAATATTAGCAAATCAAATTCAAAGATATATCAAAAAGTTCATCCATCATGATCAAGTAGGATTTATTCCAGGGATGCAAGGATAGTACAACATTCGAAAATCCATCAAAATCATCCACTACATCAACAAGACGAAGGACAAAAACCACATGATCATCTTTATAGATGCTGAAAAGCACTTGATAAAATTCAACATCCATTCATGATTAAAACTCACAACAAAATGGGTAGAGAGGGCAAGTACCTCAAAATAACATAGGCCATATATGACAAACCAAAAGCCAACATATTAACAGTGAGAAGCTGAAAGCTTTCCTTTAAGATCGGGAACAAGACAAGGATGCCCACTCTCACCACTTTTATTTAACAAAGTACTGGAGGTCCTAGCCACAGCAATTAGACAACACAAAGAAATAAAAGGCATCCAGATTGGTAAGGAAGAAGTCAAACTGTCACTGTTTGCAGATATCATGATATAGCACATAAAAAACCCTAAAGAATCCACACTAAAACTACTAGAACTAATATCTGAATTCAGAAAAGTTTCAGGATACAAAATTAATATGCAGAAATATGTTGATTTCCTATACATTAACTATGAACTAGCAGAAATTAGGAAAAGAATTCCATTCACAATTGCATCAAAAAGAATAAAATATCTAGGATAAAACCTAACAAAACAGGTAAAAGACCTATACCATTAAAACTATAAGACACTCATCAGAGAAATTAGAGAAGACACCACTAAATGGAAATACATCCCATGCTCATGATTAGGAAGAATTAATATTGTCAAAATGGCCATCCTGCCTAAAGCAATCTACAGATTCAATGCAATCCCTATCAAAATTACAATGGCATTTTTCAATGAACTAGAGCAAATAGTTCTAAAATTCACATGGTACCACAAAAGACCCGATAAAGCCAAAGCAATCCTCAGAAAGAAGAAGAAAGCTCTAGTGATTACACTCCCCGACTTCAAGCTCTACTACAAAGCCACAGTAATCAAGACAATTTGGTAATGGCACAAGAACAGACCCACTGACCAATGGAACAGAATTGAGAGCCCGGATATTAACCCAAGCATATATGGTTAATTAATATATGATAAAGGAGCCATGGATATACAATGGGGAAATGACAGCCTCTTCAACAACTGGTGTTGGCAAAAGTGGACAGCTACATGTAAGAGAATGAAACTGGATTACTGTCTAACTCCATACAGAAAAGTAAACTCAAAATGGATGAAAGACCTGAATGTAAGTCATGAAACCATAAAACTCTTAGAAAAAAATATAGGCAAAAATCTCTTGAATATAAACATGAACAACTTTTTCCTGAAACGCGTCTCCTCAGGCAAAGGAAACTAAAGGAAAAATGAACAAATGGGACTACATCAAACTAAAAAGCTTCTGTACAGCAAAGGACACCATCAGTACAACAAAAAGGCCTCCTACAGTATGGAAGAATTTATTCATAAATGATATATTTGACATGGATTAACTTCCAAAATTACAAAAGAACTCACATGCCTCAACACCCAAAAAGCAAATAACCCAATTAAAAAATGGGTGGAGGATATGAACAGACACTTCTCCAACAAAAAAATTCAGATGGCTAACAGGCACATGAAAAGATGCTCCACATGGCTAATTATCAGGGAAATGCAAATTAAAACCACAGTGAGGTATCACCTCACACCAGTTAGGTTGGCCAACATTAAAAAGACTAGGAACAACAAATGCTGGCAAGGATATGGAGAAAGGGGAACCCTCCTACACTGCTGGTGGGAATGTAAGTTGGTGCAACCAATGTGGAAAGAAATATGGAGGTTCCTCAAAAAACTAAAAATAGAAATACCATTTGACCCAGGAATTCCACTCCTAGGAATTTACCCAAAGAAAACAAGATCCCTGATTCAAAAAGACATAAGTACACATATGTTTATCGCAGTGCTTTTTACAATAGCTAGGACATGGAAGCAACCTAAGTGTCCATCAGTAGATGAACGGATAAAGAAGAGGTGGTACATATACACAATGGAATACTATTCAGCCATAAGAAGAAAACAAATCCTACCATTTGCAACAACATGGATGGAGCTAGAGGGTATTATGCTCAGTGAAATAAGAAAGGCAGAGAAAGACAAGTACCAAATGACTTCCCTAATTTTTGGAGTTTAACAACGAAGCAAAACTGAAGGAACAAAACAGCAGCAGACTCACAGACTCCAAGAAGGGACTAGTGGTTATCAAAGGTGAGGGAGAGAGGAGGTTGGTGTGGGGAGGGGATCACATGGAAGACAGTGTAGCACAAAGAGAAGTAGTGACTCTGTGGCACGTTACTACACTGAGGCACAGTGACTTCAATGGGGTATGGAGGGACTTAATAATATGGGTGAGTGTAGTAACCACAATGTTTTTGTGTGAAACCTTCATAAGAGTGTATATCAGTGATACCTTAATAAAAATAAAAATAATAGATAAAATAATAAAACAAATTTTGAGTAATTATTCTTAAGATGTTTTTATATATGCCTGCTTCTTTTTGAAAACTACTTTCTTAAAGCTAGCACGATGTATTTTGGATTACCCACAGATCTAGTAATACTACAGTGGAAAATAGACACGAGCAGAAGTAAGGAGTCATCGAAAGTCATAAACCTATAAATAATTCCAAGTCAATACATTTTTAAAGACTCTGCAATAAGCAATGGTAAATAAATTCATCTAAAGACCAACTCCAAGCAAATGATAGTGGTTGTCTAAAGTACTCTGCTAAGGGAATTTTTAAAATCAAGTTCAGTAGGCACCACTGCTCATCAGTATACTAGATGTAGCATGGAATGCTTCATTGTTATCGATTTAGTTTCTTAATGCTAGACTAGAGAACATTGGATCGATCACATACCAACTGAATGACTAAGCAAGTTATTTAATGTTCACAGTCTCATTTGCTGTTTCTAAAAGAAGTATCTTAACTATATCACAAGGTTGCTGTAAGTACAAAAATGCTAAAATAATATATATAAAATGCCTTATAAATCATAAAATAATACACAATGCAATTTATTATTATTGTATTGGGGTTCATGCCTCTTTAATATATTTATTTAAATTCTGATAAATAGTTCTTACCAAGTTAGCAGCACTCACATTTGAAATATCTGAAGGGTCCATTTCATTTTCTATCCTTGCTTTCTCTGCTAAAAACATGTCTTCATTTGTTTGCGAAGGAGGTGTGTTAACTTGCTGAGTAATCGAAACACACTCTGTATCAATGTGAACAGCAGGTATTTCAGAAGTTTGCTCAGAATTGTCTTTGAAGAAACTACTCCCAGAGTTCTTGACACCATCCAGCGTACTCACTGTGAGCTGACAAAACATTTCACAAAATAAATCAGAGATAAAGTAAAAAATACTCACCAACAACTCCACTCTAGAAAAACTGATTATGCTTAACCTATCAACTTCGTAGCAGTGATTAACTGGCTGGCAGACAACTCACTCATCATTTTTTTTCTATGTCTCAGGAGTAAGCCAAAAGAGAGACCATTAAGCAACCACAGATTTTATTTGCACACCTACTATATATAGGACACTGTCTGAAATGCTACAAGAAATTAAGCAATATAAATATAGTTACATTTTATTTTAGTAATTAGGCTGATTCTTGATAAGTACTTTTCAAGCCTCACAAGAGATGTAGTCATGAATACAATACTTTGTCTTATATTCAAATAACTAAAAGCATTTACATGTTTTTTGCACAGACTGTCTAATATCAAATGAAAGCACTTTTCACCAAAATATATACTTTGAAGCCATTTTACTCAAAAATATGAAACTTTCTCTCTTTAGATAATACTAACACAACCTCGAAGTATCTATCACAAAGACCACAGGTACATAACACCACTTCTCAGATTTAGAAGAGAAATACACCGTTAAAAAGCACAGTATATCTGAAGATACAGCTCATTATGCAATTCCTATTTTTTAGACTTCAATATTCTCCCCATTCCTCTTTAGGAATATTTAACACATATTCCAAAAGAAATATAAGAAAAAACCTAGAACAAATACAACACTAGTAAAATACATATTTGTTTTTTAAAATTTTCTAGTTCAGTTTATAGAAACAAGCCTCATTATCCTTCCCATCAGACTACAGAAAGAATGGAGCTGTGGTTTCCAGTTATACTCAGAATATGAGCTCCAAGAGAAGAACTAAAATTTTAAATTGTAAATTTAAAACTCACTCACATCACTACTTAAATAAACATTAGATAAACATTGCAGTGGCCATAAAACCTCCAGTTTGATTAATTATTTATAGAAATAATAAACTTGGCCAAGTCTTATAAACTACGTTAACAATTCTACCATTGGTCAGAACTTAAAAGTGTCCTAAAGTGTTGATTTTAGCTTAAGAATTATTTAAATTGTATCACACTGTTTATATTGTTATCAACAATATACATATATCAGTCACCATGGTTTATAATCTTGGCAATATTTATATTAGCATTACTGATGTTTACAATATAGTCAGCCATGTATATTAAAAGATCAATATCATTTATGTAATAAAATCAAAGCTACACTACAAATTAATGTTGAAAAAATATGTACATGTGTTAATTCCATTTTTTGAAAGACAAAGTGTGCATTGGTGGTATAGTGGTGAGCAGAGCTGCCTTCCATTTTTTGAAAGACAGTGGAGAAAACAAAAACGGTACTAGCTTAGCCACCATCATCAATGAACTTTTATACTGATCTGCTTTAGCAATAGTTTGATTAATCAGAAGTTCTATGTGTGGATTATTCCTGAAATCCCAAAATCATGTAAGTTTATTCATTATACAAAAACATAATTTTTTATACTGCCAAATTTTATACCTAAAATACACATTAACACAAATGCTAAATGTTAAGTGATACAAAAAGTGTATTTCTTCAAGTTTACCTACATTAAAAAGTTATTCAAAGTGTATCCAACAAATATACATTGATTACTTTCCATGTGTTCAAGGATTCTGCTCCATATTATAAGAAATTAAAAGGCAGCATGAGATAATACCTATAAGGAGTTACTATGTCATGTGGACATAAAAGATACATACACTGAAAAGTCACAGAGCATCAGAAACAGTGTAGGGTTAAGAGCCATTATCATCATTAAGAAGGAAAACATGAAAAGTTGAGTACAGTTACCAATAAAAATAAATATCCTGCAGGTTAAAGGAGAGAATTTTGAAAATCAGATACTAGACTGAAAAATATTAGTTATTTTACAGTTTTTACTTAGCCCCTGTATCACATCAAATAATCTCATATTTCATCAATTATTTCTAATAAAATTATATAACTAAATATGAATCTTTATGTAAACACATACATTTAAAATGCATTCTTTCATCAAATAAGTAAACTTCAAGTGGATTAACAGAATTGGGAATATTAATGTTAAAGAATTATATTAAATATTAGCAAGCTACTGTATACTAAGAGCAAGAAGTGAATGTAGAACAAGTTTAAAACGATCCTTACTTTCATCACCATTGAAAATTTTTTTATGGAAATAAAGTTGATACACAATATTATATTGGTTTCAGATGTAGAACATAGTGACTCAATAATTATATACATTACTAGATGCTTGACATATAAGTGTAGTTCCCCATTACCTAACCGAGATACTACAATAACATTGGTGATAATCTTTATGTTGTACTTCTATTCCTATAACTAACCTATTTTTACAATTTGCAGTTTGTACCTTTTTATTCCCTTTACCTATTTCACCCATCTCTCATCCAACTCCCTATGGTAACCAACAGCCTGTTATCCATATGTATGGGTATATTTCTTTATTTGGTTGATGACTGGTTTTTTTAGATTCCAAATATAAGTGAAATCATATGGTATTGGTCTTTCTCTGCTTGGCTTATTTTAGCATAATACTCCTTAGGTACCTCCATGTTGTTGCAAATGGCAAGATTTCATTCTTTTTTGTGGCTAATATTCTACTGTGTATATGTACCACATCTTCTTTATCCACTCGTCTATCAAAGAGCATTTGGGTTGCTGCTATATCTTTGCTTTTATAAATAATGCTGCAATGAACATAGGCATGCATGTATCTTTTTGAATCAAGAGATTTTGTTTTCTTCAGGTAAATTCCCAGAAGTGGAATTGCTGGCTTATATGGTATTTTTAGTTTTAGTTTTTTGAGGAACTTCGTATTATTTTCCACAGTGTCTGGGCCAGTTTACACTCCTACCAACAGTATAGGAGGGTTCCTTTTCTTCACATCCTCAACAACACTTACTATTTACTGTCTTTTGAATAGTAACCATTCTGACTGGTGTGAAGTGATACCTCATTGTGCTTTTGATGTGCATTTTTCTGGTGATCAGCAATTTGGAGCATCTTTTCATGTGTCTGCTGGCCTGGTGTATGTTTTCTCTGGAAAAATGTCTATTCAGATACCCTGCCCAATTTTTACCAGATTATTTGTTTTTTTGGTGTTGAGTTATACGAGTTCTTTATATATTTTGGATATTAGACCCTTATTGGATATGTCATTTACAAATATATTCTCCCGCACTGTAGATTGTCTTTTTGTTTTGTTGATGGTCTCCTTTGCTGTACAGAGGCTTTTGAGTCTGATGCAGTCCCACTTGTTCATTTTTGCTTTTGCTTCCCTTGCCCGGGGAGACATATCCACAAAGAAGTTTCTCATGTTGACATTTATGAGTCATCACCATTTTTAATAACCTTCCAAATGAAGCAAGAGGACAACACTTTAAAGCAAGTAAAGTTACCCACAAACTGGGGCAAATGGATATCATATTCCTCCAGATGTGACACAGAGGACACTTTATTTCTGTCAAAAATGCATAAGCTAAACTGAATACTGACCAAACAAACAGAAGGACATTCTATCAAAAAAAAAACAAAAAACCTACTATGTAGCCTTCAAAAATATTAATGTCAGAAAACACAAATACAGACTAGGTAACTGTCCCTGGTGAAATATTAAAGAAACAAAGTCAAATGCAATGTGTGAATCTAGATTGGTTCCTGAGTCAAGGGAAAAATTCTGTGAAGACATATTTGGGGTGACTGGAAAACTGTGAATATGGACTAGAAATTAGATAATAATATTATATAAATGTCAAATTCCTTGATTTTATCATTATAATGTGGTTATGTGAAAGGTTTCTCTATTCTTTGGAGATGCATAGCTATAGTATAAAGATGAATGGTTATGTTTGAACAGCACTCTCAAATGTTCAGCATACAGTATGTGTGTATGACATGTAAATAGAGAAAAGATGTGGCAGAACATTAAACTGCGAACCTAGGTAAAGGGTGTAAGAGAGCTCACAGTTCTGTCCTTGCAACTTTTCTGTAGATATGAAGTGTTTCACAACAAAACTGTTAAACTTAGTAGAAAATAAGATATTCCAGCATATACATATCCCTGATAAAAAGGCAGTACAAGGATTTTCAGAGTGGGCTACCTGAGCTCTTTCAGCAAGAGGGCGGTCACAGGAGTGTGGTGAGCCTTTGGGTAGAGATCGTACAGTATTAGAAGGTCCGCCTCCAACGAATTCACCTTTCCGTATGCTTTCGTCAGGTAAAAGATGTACATTTTCTTTATTGCTATCATCCTTCGACCTTACTGTTTCTGTTGCTACTGAAACTTTTGGCAACACTGCTGTTGACCGTGAACGAACAGGTCTTCCTCTCTGAACAGTCTCCCATCCTTCAGCATCTTTCCAGTCTATGCAATTGAGAGAAGAACATAAATCAAGATTTCTTTAGATGATAAAAATTTTCAAAAACCTATAAAAAACATTTCCAATCTAATTCCCATTAAATATACCTAATACACAAACATGAAACTAATTTTATGGTGCGAGGTGTACTGTGTGTATGTGTGTGTAGAATATCTATCTTGAAACTACACCGTGTGATAGGTACACAGTCAGAAAGTAAAAATAAACATTTCTATAGCATATACTATGTGCCAGCACCGTTCTAGGAGCTTTATATGTAACTCCTGCAATCTTCACAACGACCCTGTAAGATCAGTATCATCATCCCCATTTTATCAATGAGAAAACTGAGACAGAGAGAGGTAAAGTAATCTGCCCAAAGCCGCATAGCTAGTGAGGGCAAAGCCAGGATGCAAAGCCAGGCAAATTGGTTCAGGTGCCCCAAACATGATGTAAAAACTGGTGCCTCCCCATCTTTCAGAATCCAAACATAGATTTAGCTCAGAAGTCCAAGTTCTTTCCTCTATTCCAGGACTAATAACACACTGACCTTTTAAAATCTATTTCAATAATGACAAGTTTATAGAATGTTCACTGAAGAAACTGTAGAAGATCTTGTCCAATATTTCCCCACACATACAAGGAAACTGAGGGCCTGTGACTAAAGTCATACAGCAAAATAGTCTAAAATAGTAAGAATCTTCCACTGTTTCAAAATGTCTTTCAAAATTAATATGAAGACTTCCAGTTCTGACCAAGATAAAGTGGCCCCATCCTCATTTCCAGGTCTTCCTTCTTACAACTAGAAACTCTGGACAAAACACACAAAATAATCACACAACTATTTTTAAGAGAGGGAAAGAAGTATGCAAACTGCCTAGAGACCCTGGGATTGGAAAAGTACAGCAGTTCTCTGGGTTTTCTTATTGCTTCCTATATATTCCTGAAAGGACACTGTAATTAACAGCCTCCAACACAGAAGGACCAACAAGCATAAGCAAAACAGGCATCAGCAAAACCTGTTTCCTGAGCCAAAGGACGGGGCAAAGGGTGGCCTAACAAAGCAGAAAATCCTTTTGGCAAAATTCATTCAATTCTGCATCAGTGGAAACCTCACTCCCCATGGTGTCAACAGGGGTAAGCAAAAGCTGAACTTCCATTCCCCACCTAGCAGAAGCAGATGGTGATCCCAGTCCCGCACCAAAGTAGTGTCAGCAAAGTCAAATGGGGAGCCGAGCCAGCTCCAGCTGATATAAACAAGACCAAACAAGGCAGTAGGAACTGGGGTTACTGAAGCACTCCACTTTCTCCTACCCCTGGTGTCAGTGTGGCCCAGTGGGAAGCTGAACCTCCGTACGCCCTGAGCATCCATCAGATTGAATGAAGCAGTGTGGGTCAGAAGTGACAGACACTGGTTCTCCCTCGGGCCCAGTGCCAGCAGGGCCCAATGGTGAGCACAGCCTCCACCTCCATTCAGCATCAAGGACACATAGGATAAATTTTCTGTTCCCCCACTCCCCTAGTGTCAGTAGATCCCTATAGAGAGCTGTGCTTCCAAAACACCAGCATCAATGGCAGAACAAAGTGGGGGAAGGCAGATTTATTGGCTTGGTTCCCCCTCTCCTTGTCATGTCAGCATGGGCCAACAGGGAGCTCAGCTTTCACCCCACCCTGTAACAAGAAGCTGGTGCAAATCAGTCCTCCCTTCATTTTGCCCGTCCCTGGTGTCAATCATGCCTAGAGGAGAGAGAATCCCGTGCCACCAGTAGAGACCAAGTAGGTAGTGAAAGGTGGTGCCCCAGTTTTGCTAGGAAGTTGTCACAGCGACCAAGAACATAGTCTCAGGGACCTGAAGGACAGTAACAAAAGAAGTAACATTTGTGTCATGATAGTCCCAGAGGAAGAACAGAGTGCAGGACTGACTGAAGAAAGATTGGCTGAAAACTTCCCAAACCTAGTAAAAGACAGTTTAAAACAACAGATTCAAGAAACTTAGAAATTCAAAAAATCCATGCTATGACACATCACAATTAAACCTCTAAAAAACAAAGTAAAGCTCCTGACAGTAGTCATAGAGAAAAAGGTGAATTATTCATAGCGTATCAATTCTAATGACAGCAGATTTTTCATCTGAAGAATTAGAGGACAGGAGGAAGCAGTATATTTTTCAAGGACTGAAATAACTATTAATCTTAATTCTATATACAGTGAAAATGTCTACCAGGAATGAATGGTAAATAATAGCATCCTCAGACAAAGGAAAAAATTAAGAGAATAATAAACTTGCACTTACAGAATGACTAAAGGAAGTTCTCCTAAAGAGAAATGAAATAGAAACAGAAGGTGGTTTAAAAAATCAAAATGGAAAGAACACTGAAATGGGTAAAAATAGAGGTAAACATAAACTATCCTTCTCATGAATTCCTTGCATTGTATTTGACAGTGAAATAAAAAATTATAACACCATTTGATGTAGGGCTCAATATAATTAAGACAATTAAATTTAAAAAGTAGAAAGAATAAAGGGAACCAACTAGAAGGTTTCAATTATTTCATTCACAATGATAATCACCAAAATCAGTAGACTACCACAACTTCGATATGTAAAATGCAATACCTAGGGCAACAACTAAGAAAACTATACAAATCAATATTCTCCAAAACACTATCAACGAATCAGAATAGAATCATAAAACATGTTTGTTACCCACAAGAAAGCAAGAAGAGAGAAACAATGGAATGAGAACCAAAGGCAACAGAAAAATAATACATTGACAAACTTATGCCCTAACATATAAATAATTACCTTAAAACATAAATTATCTAAATGTAACAAATGATAGAGACTAGCACTGAATATTTAAAATATAATTAAACTGTATATTATCTATAAGAAACCCATTTAAATACAAGGACATAGGTAGGTTCAAAGTAAAAGAATAGAAAACATTACTTCATGCAAACGCTAATAAGAAAAGCAGGAATGGATTTATTAATATCAGATAGAACAGACTTGAAAACAACAGAAACTCAAGATACACAGAGGAAAAACTGATAAGGCAGAAAAAAAAAGGAAAGAATCCACAATTACAGCTGGGGACTTCTAAATCCCTCTCAGGAACTGACAGAACTATTTAGACAGAAAATCAGCACATATATAGAAGACCTGAACAACACAATCAACCAACAGGATGTAACAGCATATATAGAAAAGTCGATTCAACAACAGTAAATTTTTTTTCAAATGCCTACAAAACATTCAACATGACAGACCATAGTCCAAGCTACAAAATAAACTTGAATGCACCAATTCTGCAAAAGCCACAAAGTACCAAAACCCAACCAATATGGAATGGACTAACTGAATAGTCATGATTATTAAAGAAATTGAATTTGTACTTGAAAAGCTTCCAAAAAAGGAATATCCAGGCCCAGATAGCTTCTCTGACAAATTCTACTAACATTTTTTTAAAGGCTTAACACCAATTTTACACAAACTATTCCAGAAAATGGAGGGAAAAGGTAAATTTCCCAAGTTATAAGGCTAGTATTACACTGATACAAAAACACACAGAGAGTACATAAAAATAAAGTTAAATGCCAGTATTTCTCATGAACTTAGATGTAAAAATCTTCAAATAGCATATAAAATCCAGCAATGCATAAAATGAATTATAACCCGTAACCCAGTGGAATTAATTTCAGGTATGCAAATCTAGTTCAAGATTCAAAAAGGAAACAATGTGATCTACCACTGTCAACAGGCTAAACAAGAAAAATCATGTGACTGTATCAAGGCAGAAAGCATTTCACAAAATCCAACATATACTCCTAACAAAAACTCTCATTAAACTAAATAGAGGGGAACTTAATCAACTTCATTTAAATAAAAAAGTTTACAAAAAACTACAGCTAACATATACTTAATGGTGCAAGACTGAATCATTTCCCCAAGATCTGCAACAAGTAATGGATGTCTTCTCTCACCACACTTCTTCAACACACATACACACACACAAAAGATAATACAGATTAGGAAAGGAAGAAATAAAACTGTCTGTTTTCAGATGACATGGTTATCTACACAGAAAATCCCAAGGAATATACTTTAAAAACTCCAAGAATTATTACAGGAAATCAGTGAAGTTGCAGAATACAAGTCAAGGCAAAAAAACCATTGCATTTCTATATACTAACAATGAACTGAAAGTAAGAACTGCTTATAATTGCAGTAAGGAAATGAAATGTTTAGTAACAGGACTAACAAAAAAGGTATAGAATGTTTCCTAAAAATTACAAAAGGCTGATGAAAGAAATAAAATACATGGAGAGACCATGTGCAGAGATTGGAAAATTCAGCATAGTTAAAATGTCAATTTCTACCAAAATCCTAGCAACATTTTTTTCAACAGAGAGAAGCTTATTCTAAATTTATATAGAAACATACAAGACCTAAAATAGCTAAATACAATTTTTAATGAGAAAAATAAAGTGGAAGCGATCACTCTACCCATTGTTAAGGCTTACCACATAGCAAGAGTGATAAAGACAGTGTAGCTTATGTGAAGAACAGATACATAGATCAATGAATAAAATACAAAACCCAAGAATAGATACACAAAAATAGCCCAACTGATTTTTGACAAAATTTCAAAAGAGAATTTTCAACAAATTGTGGTGGCAAAAAAGTGACCCTCCATCCAAAACTCACACTTACCTCAAATGGATCAGAGAATTAAATGTAAGACATAACACTATAAAACCTTCAGAAAACACAAGAGAAAATCTTTTGAACCTACGGCTAGACAATGAGTTCTTAGACTTGACATCAAAAGCATGATCCATAAAAAGAAGACTTCCATGGACCTCATCAAAACTGAAAGTTTCTCCTCTGCAACATGCTCATGTGAAGAGAATGAAAAGATAAACACACTGAAAGGAAATACCCAACAAAGGACTATTATCTAGAATATAAGGAGAACTCTCAAAACTCAACAGGCACATA